ATTTCCTAATCACCAGGGAAATATATACACAGGATAAAAAGAAATCTCTATTAGAGTATTTTGTCTTTCCTATTAATTAGTTCGATGTTTTATGAAACAGAATTGAATGCTATTTTAACCTTGATAGAAGGTAAGGATAAATTGCATTTCAGTAGAATTTTGTCAACTAGCCAATGTGCACATTTTTTCTATGATAGAACTGTAGAAGATTAAGCTGCAGACTAGTCTACATATACGGTGTGTGCATGTGTATGTGAGAAGGAGAAAAAGAAAGAAGTAGAAAAAAATTGAGATAGATGGGGGTATCCATTCCACCACTTACTTTTCTAGTTCCTGGAGGAATAAATGCAGCCCTCTCCCCTGATCAGACTTCATTTTGGTATAGTATGTAAAATATTTGTAAGTGGTACTTGACAGCTTATGCAGCTGCCAGAATAACAAGCTGAATGATGAATTTTCTGAGCTGAGGGCTTAGCAATCAGGTGAGCAGGCAGAGAATGAAATAGATCTTGTACGCAGAAAATTCAAGTCAAATGCAAGTAATCAGCAGCAGCTCTCCAAGGCTTCAGGCAAGGTTATTTCAGTCCTTCTGGGTGATCCTGAACATTGAACTAGGATCTTCTGCATGCTACATGTTCTGCTAAAGAGGGTTTTTGGATGACTTTCCAAACCCTCCTAGTTGCTTAACATGAATTCATATCCTGCCTGTTTTCCCACCCTATTCCAATCCAGGTGTATTTCTGTGATTAAGTAGCTGCTATTTCTGTGGCTGCTTGGAGATTTGGGAAGATACATTTTAATTTGGGAAGGCTACTGTAGTGAAGGAGCTGTGTGGGATGGGAGTAAGAAATGTTCTCCACATTAATCAGCCTGAATGATTTCATCATGTTAGCTTAAGGAAGGAAGGAAGGGAGGAAGAAAGGAAGGGAGGAAGATGGAAAGTGATAGTGTGGGATGTATGATATATCTTCATTTTTACAAAAGCTATAATTGTGAGATATTAATTTTCATACAGATGGCCCCTGTAAATATAAATATGATAAATATGATGATATAAAAGTTTATGTAATATTTTCTTTAAAAGGTTATAGAATAGGAGATATGCAGGCTAATAACAGAGGAATCTGAAGCTTCATTCATCCTGAGAAGGAAACTGCCACTTGCTATGAGATGATTTATCCAAGATTATTCCGTGAAGGTGATGGACTTTGAACCAAAGCTCCTCCCAAACCAAACTCATTTCACTGGAATCATATCAGCAGATGAGTTTGAAATGGAACTTGGGAAGCACCTAAAACATGTAGAGGCATAATTTACAAGCAGCAGGTGTGTGGGCATATGCACAAACTTAGTTATGTGTGGATGGATTTTATGGATTAGTGGAGGTACACTCTGCTTGTGATTCTGTCACTTTCTTGTATCCAGAAAAAAAAGGAAGCCAAATGGAAGGCCAACAGTCTTGTCCTGCTTGTTTTGGCTTTGATTTACTTAATTGCACATAATGGGAGGTGGATGCTTTTAAATACGTATTAGGAAAGTATTAGGATTTTCACTCTTTGCTGGTAGAGATCACAATGCAAACCAGACTCTAAATGCACTGCTACATAAATTCACAAACCAGAGGAAAGCAACATACAGTTTGGGTTGATCTAATATAGTGCTAGCTATTATTTTATGTCTTGCATTTATATTATATTTTTCAAAGAGATGTATTTAGACTTTCCTGAAAGTTTTATTATTACAGCAACTTTATGAGACAGCTTAGGCTGGATGATAGTAGTTAGCTCAGTTATTCTGTGAATTTCATGACAGAGCAGGGACTCAAAACTGGATCTCCCCAGGATTAGCCACATTTGATCATCAGCAACTGAAAGGTAAATTGATTGCTACTATGCAAGAAACAATTCAGAACTATGAAATGTATGAAGATAAATCATAAGAATTCATTGGGGTTTTCCTTACTTGTACCTAATCACAGTACAAATGAGTACATGCCCAGGCCACTTCATTTTATGTCATGTCCCCATGATGTTGCCTTCATCTCATCCATAATCCATGAGTGATACAATATTAATTCATCCTTAGCTGTACCAAAGCAAAAGTAGAATTTCTCTCCTGCTTCCAGGACCAAGCAAGGATAGTCTCAGATTCTGTTACCTTTGTTAGCCTTGGAGGGAATCGCTTGATTGCAGTGATTTGAAATAGAAGTACAGTTAAAGATTGGCAATGGCTATGGTAAATTTTATTTTATTCATTTCAGTTCAGCACTGGGATAAGTAGCCTATTATCTACTTAGTTCTCCATTATTAACATTAATGGACAGCAGCCCCTACATTCCAAACAGCAACATCCCCCTTCCTTACTCAGAAATTCCTAGAATCAAAATCTTCATAGAAACCATATATTTTAGCCCTGAGATCTATCCTTTATTGGTTGAATTGCTTGGAATTTTGAATACCTGATGTTAGCTGACATTCAGTGCCTCTGTCTTTTCTTAGTACTCTGCACAGTGGTAAGTCTTCTCAATTACCAAATAACAATTAAGAAGAGCATGAGAACTTGCATGAAGGACAGGAGAGGGAATGGCCTGATTGCTGACAGTGCAAACAGATGCCAATTAACCAACATGTTGCTTGATTTTAAGCATACATAAATGATGTAACAGGAATGCTATTTGTTGGACTTTGATTACTCATTCAGACTCCACACTGATGTCAGTAGCCTAAGTGATTTCTCATGTATAGCACTCTTACAAAGGTATTGCAGATCTGTCTGCGGCAAGGTTTCTTTTAATCCAGGCAATGATAGAGAACAGATGCCTGGGTGCAAAAGAATATGTCAGAAAACAGTACCAAAAAACACAGCCGGATTCTGTGCAATTTGGAGATCAGACTCTCCAAATGCAGTGATGGATAACTCAAGTCAAAGGCAGGAACACTGTCTTTCACTTCAACATATCCAAGCATTACCTACAATAATTTCAAAAGAATGTGGACAGCGGAAAAAAAGGAGAACAAACAAAGGATAGGGCTATTAAAACAATGGTAATCAGTTTGATCAGATCATGACATCACTAGTAAGGCAATACAGTACTTGAAAAATAGGATTGTTGTAGAAGAGGGTGGGGCTGTCTTTTGTTGATTCAAAAATAATGAAAGAGGAAAATCTATGAGTCATAAATGACAGAGAACCTCAAGTATATTGAGAGCAGGTTGGTGCCATGTCTTGGATTGCCACCAGCAGTGCTAATATGATTTAAAGTTCAGTGCCAGAGGTTTCAACATGCCTTTTTCCCCTCCCTTCAAAATATTTCTCCTATGTCTTTTCCCTTTGATTCTGCATTTATATAGCCATTTCTCTGAGTGAAAAACATAATGGCTAAACGTTTTACTGAAAGTAAAAATGCAGAGGAATATCTGCTGTGATAATTATTAACTAGCAACCTTGTGATAGCAATCCCTGAATGGCAACTTTCATGAATGCCAAGAAACTGGGCAGCTCCAATGCCATGGATTAGAATAGAATAGAGCTGCCACGGTATCAGATGGGTTTATGAAGCCAAGGGATGCCCATGCTCAGGTTTGCCTTGCTTTGCCTTCCTTCCCTCCCATTCTATAGGTGACTGAAGAATAAGCTTCTGCCCTACAGTATTGCTGTAATAAATTTATGCAATGTCATTATCATGGTTTACCTGGGACTAGCATTTCAGACCACTGATAGTGTGCTAAAATGTAAACAAGAAGAGCAGGAAATGCTTCTAAAGTCCCATCCATACATGGAGATATTGCAATACCTTCCCATTAAGAAAACCGTCAGATGGGAGTATGTTCTGAGACATGTTTGAGATATTTGGTATTATTTTCTTTATGGTAATTATGAGTCAGATACCTCTCAAAAGATGGGAATTTGGGGGTAGGTTGGTGAAATATGAGATAAAGAGTAGGTGTATAACTTCCTCTGTAGCCAGTGGCATCTGATTAGGCCTGACTTGCTGCAGAAAGTCAAGTCTAGGCAGATGAAGTTAGTTCAGAGAGATGGAATCTAATCAAAGCATTGCAACTGCAGCAGACTAAATCAAGAAAATTGTCCTCGTGTATAAAGGACAGAGAAAACCAGAATTATGGATAATTTCAAGTAAGCTTCTTACCAAATGTTTTTCTTGTAAGAATAACAGGAGCCATTAGCTAAATCCAACTGAAGTTTTATGCTAAAAAACCATAATCTGTGGTCTGGTCAACTCCAGCCTTTCTGAAGAATCTGATTGAAGTATTAACTGATTTCTCAGTCTAAGACATCTGTGAGGCTGGAAAAAATTGAGGTTTTGGTAGAGGCTCATCCTTGAGCTCGTAGGACGGAAACAACAGAGTATCCTCCACCTGGATGAATATAGGATCCCTCATTTTCAGTTATCTCCTGCACAGGTTCTGTTGCACTCAGAGTATTCAGAAACTGGTACCACAACAGTATATGGTGGGGCTCAGCTATTCTAATCATTCGTGTACCCTGATTTCCTTCTTTGTAGTTATGGTTCTTTAGACTGATGTACAATTTCCTTATACAAAGAAGTCTTGGCCCAGATTTAAAAATGTTATTCTTTAAGGCACAATTTCAAATGCATATGGAAGATAAACAGGTACTTTTTATAAGGGTCTGTTCTGATACCTACTTGAGAAAGTTTAAAGATTGTAATATATGATTATTGGCCTTGGTATCTTCTCCAATATTTTAGATGAAAAAAAACAAACAAACACCATACACCTTTACACATTTTTACATCAGGGCTGTCAACCTCTAGTCTCCTATAATTGGGAGAAAGCCCTGAAAGACTAGCAGCCCATCTTATTTCAGATACACGTGAGCTCCAAAGGAGTTAGTGTCAATGTTGTATTGTTCCAATGGTTAACTAAGCATGATGGAATCATTCTGTTCTGACAGCCTCTTTCCTTCTTATACTGATTACTAATACTTTTTTTGCTTTTTCCCATTTTCCCCCCCTCCAGCCTGGCTCAACAATGGTCGCTTGAGGATGGAGAGGAGCAGGAGAGAGAGCGCAGACGAAGGCATAGGCAACTGAGTTCCACCTCTGAGACAAAGGGGGAGGAATCCTCCAGCACAGTACAGAACGTGACCAGTCACACATCAAACAGGTATTTGTATTTGTAGGTTTGGCTGTTGTGGAGCAGACTTATTCACTTGTGCAAGTGCTGGAAATTGGAGCCAATTCTAATGATTTTGAAAAGAGACAATGACTTTCCTGTTCATTTGAATTAACATTATTTTATGAAGAACAGGGATTGAGATTTAGGGAGATAGGTATAGATTAGATGGAACCAGATTATACTTCGGACCTAACACTCCACCCTCCCCATTAGAACACTAGAATTCATGTTTTCATATCTTCTCCTTTTCTAACCCTACAGGCCTCTTCAAAATTGTGAGTTCCTTTGGGGAATGGTATGTTTGCATACAGAGAGGTGAAAACATAATGGCAATTGACAAAATCTCTTTAGTTTCATGAATGGAAGAGTAACTCAACATTCCAATTTATGTTTATAGATAATTTGTAAAATAACTAGAGAAAATGTATATATTAATGCAGGACAGGATTACTGTAATTGGTCTTTTTCTGTTCTGTGATTCCACACCAGCTAAGATTATTATATTGAGTACAGAATGGATCATCTGAAAGATTCAAGTCATATTCCAGACTTGAAATATAGACTATCTTACAGAAGTTGGACTATAGCATGTCTAGTTCAGAATAAGTGCTGCTGGTTGTTGGTGACTATCCAGGATTTTCAATACAAAATTTTCCAGTCATCTAACTGCCAAATTTATAGTATATGAGGAAATCTCAGAAACTTCACAGTAATATTTGCCATATCAGAGGGGAGTAAATAGAGACTGTAGTTGCTTTTTAAACAACGCACAGAATGGTTACAGATCTCTTTCAGCTTTTCACAATCTTTAAAATACTCAACACTGGGCATTTTGCAGTGAAATACCTTTCCTTCATTGGCATTTTTTAGAATGATGATCTTAATTTATGTTTCAGGAGATGCAGAGAAGAGTGCCTGTGTGCATTGGTTTTTAAAAGTTGAAGAAAATGATAAGAAATGTCTTGGCATCATGTGCATTTTAAAAATGAAATGTGAATCTCATTTGCCTCATTCTAGTTATTATTGTTTTTATGGAACAGTATTATTTAGGCTTTGTTCCAATTAGAATGGATTCCATCATGACTCTGGTAGGAGAGAAATTCCCTGATCATTTTCAATAGCATCAGTTGCAAAATTCCTTTTACATGCCGACTGTGGACCTTCCTTTTGTTTCCCCTTGCGTGATGTATACATGCATGTATACACACAGAAGACATAGACAGCATTTTTTCTAACTTAACATTTCTGTGCCAAGATAATGAATTGTCATTATCTTTGTTATATAAAAGTATCTGATCAAAATTTCCAAAACAATCAAGTCCTATTAATACAGTCCTGCCTCCACTATAGCCCTGAAGGACTTATGAAATTATTTATAACCCGGTTTGTAAATCTCATTCCTGTGTAAACCATGTGAACCATGACTTCTTCTAAAATTTAACTTCTAGTGCCCTCTAGTGCTGTTCATGGGTTTCCTTCTCTTTCATAGGGTTGATAATTCCTTAGAGGCAAAGCTGCTTGATTTGGAAAACTCAGCACTTAAAAATAAGAAGACCGAACCAATTACAATAAATAAATTGGAAGGCAGAAGAGTGAGGAGGAGAGCAGAGTTTTTAAATAATATAAAACAAGAGAAGAAAACACTAGTGAGTACTAAGAAATTTGAAAAGGAAGCTGCTGAAGATAATCCTACATCTCCTCCAGAATCATCCAAAGAAGAGGGAAAAGCAGAAAAATGTGAAACCCTAATTTCGCAAAAGCACGTTATAGAAGAAAGCCATCAAATCCAGAGTCAGAAAAAAGAGGAGATAGCCCTGGAGAAACATGAAGTCTTGAAGCATGAGAAGGACCTCAAAATAGATGAGGATCAGGTCTTTAGTGAGGAGCAGAAGGTCCCGAGTGTATGTGAATCTCAGAGACTGGCTGTGATTCAGAATGAGGTGGTTTCCCAGCAGCCTCAAAGAGCTTCTTCGGAACGTAAAAGCATCAGCCGACTTGAGGTGAAAATTCAGCCAAGAGCTAGAACGTTCACTGATCCTTCCGCTGCAGCCACACCTGCTTCTGAGGCACCACAGGTACTTTAGTCTTGGTATTTTACAAGGACAGAGAAAGTTTGATGAAAAGTTAATTGGGCAGAGATGCAAATTAGATATGGAGTAAATTGAATACGTGGAGTTATTACTCATATCAAAGTTGGCAGCTTCATTCAGCAGTAGGGTTAAAGGATCAAGAAATAGCTAAGCAGACATGGCCTAAGGCAGGATTAAGTAACAGAGCATCTTAAATTCACAAGAAGCTTTCCTCTTACCCCTACATTAGAAAAATCCAATCTCAGAACCTTGTAAGATTTCTCATTAAAAGTTTATCACCTGAGGATGCTGAAATGCTGTCAGATACAATCAAAATCTTATGTGGCTTTGGTGATAATGACAACATTATTGATTTTGCCATGACATTACCATAGATCAGGATTGTGCAAGGATGCTCAGGGTCAGAAAAAAACAATCTAAGAGATTGTTTAAGAGATATCAAAAGTCAAATTATCCAGTCTGTTATTAGTGGATGCTTATGTAATATGATCAATATCTTAACTATATTTAGAAAGACCCAGGAACATATTACTCTCTGCTGCTCGCAGCATAAAATTATAATACACAATTTAGCAATGCATATAATAACAATTTTGGGTTTGTAAAAGCCTAAAAAAGCTTTAAATGTTATGGAAGTATTTTACAGAAGTGCTAAAATACCCTAAAACTAGGCCAAAATCCCTTTTTGGAAACCCATTTCACAGCCTTTTCATGTTGCAATATTGAAGTTGTTTTGCCTTTTTCTTGCTGTCATAATTTACAATTATTTTCATTTATTCTTTTTACATACATAGCCTACCTTTTCCTAGCCCTTATCTTCTATACCATACTGGATCTAGATATTCTATACCAGTGATGGCGAACCTTTTAGAGACCGAGTACCCAAACTGCAACCCAAAACTCACATATTTATCACAAAGTGCCAGGGCTGCATCAGCATTGTGGTGCCCTCGGGGGGGGGGGTGGCCCACTGGGTGGGTGTGGCTGCAGTGGTCACAGCAGACTGGGTGAGCATGGCCGGGGCCAGTCACTCGCCATCTCCGGGGCATCCCTGGGGGGCCAATGCCGTTTGCTCACTCCCTTCCTGCCTTGTCGCTTCCAAATGCCACGTGCTCGCTACTCTGGTGAACTCTGCTGGGGCAACGGTGTGCATGCCCACAGAGAGGGCTCTGAGTGCCACTTCTGGCACACACGCCGTAGGTTCGCCACCACTGTTCTATACTTTGAAAATTGTAATGAAATGTTAGTGGATATAACTTTTTCTCAGAAAACCTAGAAGAGATAATCAGACCATCTGTTAAATATGTTGTAGGATCTAAGTAGACATGCTCAGTAGTGTATAAGTCTTACAGAGTTCAAAAGGATTTATTTCCAATTTTTACTAAAAAATATCTTTGGTGAAGCAGACACAGAATATTTCTCAGTCTTCAGCCTTGTGCTTCCTTGGTTCATATTTCTCTTCCAGGTCACAGAAAAAGCTATTCCCAAATCAAATGCTAAAACTGTAAGGTCTCCCTCTGGTCAAGAAGGTTTTGATGCTCCTATACTAATTTCTGAACCCCGGATTACCTATAGTAGTTCATTCAACCGGATCAGCCCAAGGACAATCTCATTCCGGGTAAGGATTTATTACAAATTATGAAATGGTCCCTTATTTAAAAATGAAATATAGGCCCTATGACAATGACACAAGCAATATTCTACTTGCACAAAGGCATTGAGGCTGCACAACTACCATTACAATTAATTTTTACATATCAAATGGAGATAACCGCAGAGGGTCAGGTTACCCAACCTTTGTATGTCTTAGAGCTAATCTTTATTGAAATGTGGGTCACCTTCTAAATATAGTACGTATAACCAAGGCAAAATTGATTTCGATTTTATTTTATCTACATTTAAACTTTAATGAAAACTAAATACAACCAACAGGATTATTTCCCAAGCCATCTTTAAATAAGCATACTTTGGTAACAATTTTTAGGACTATTTAGGATCATTACTCAAAATTATGGGTGTCAACTTATGCACTGCTATTGTAGGGAAAGCCTATATGTATACTCTCATGCAATTGGAAACTTCCCAGTTCCTTTATTCCCCGTTTCTGGACATCAGGGAGGTTGGTACTGAGTAGTTATATAATGCTGGGGACAGGATTAGTGGTATAACTCTGATTTTCCTTGGTAGAATCTGAGGTTAGGAAGCTATCTTCCTAGGGGTAGAATGTGAAAAGTGAGAGCCAAGTAATAATTTTCTAAATCAGAGAAATTGAAGACCTTTTAGTCAATTCTTAACCTTTGAGAGCTTTTCATCTTTCAAAATATTTACCAAAGAAGGTCATTTCATCATCTAATCCAGGGGTAGTCAACCTTGGCTCTTTTATGACTCGTGGACTTCAATTCCCAGAATTCCTGAGCCAGCTTAGTTGGCTCAGGAATTCTGGGAATTGAAGTCCACGAGTCATAAAAGAGCCAAGGTTCACTACCCCCTGATCTAATCCATATCTATCCTTTTGCACATGATGCTGTGATCCTGTTGTGTTGTGACTTCCCTATACCTATTTACTCGTTGCAGTTAAGGTTTCCCCTGCCCCCTGCAACAGAGTATTTTCAGTTGGGGTTTGGGTGGGAAAAAGAATACTTGCTAAAATTTCCCTTTATTCCCCATAATTATTTAACATGCAAAACCCTGATTCTTGTTTTCTATTTCTTCTGCTTCTAGGTTCTTCCCAGGAAAGAAAGACAAGAAGATATATTAAGCAGAAGGTAAATAGATATTAGTACAGCACTGCAATGCCTTTGTAGAGCTTGCATTCTTGCTCCATATTTGTGATAGACAACAACAGAATGGCAACAGAGATCTATGTGCTTCAATAGAAAATGTTTTCTTACTTGATTTGGTTTAACTTTAATTTTGTTTTGTTTAAAGGAAGAGGCTTCTGGATTTGTAACATGCCCAAATATTCTTTAGCACACATTATGCTTCTTTTACAAGTTTTAAGAGCTGCACTTATTGTATAGGCCACTGGAAGCAGAATCTCCTGCAAATTGGGCTGTGAATATTCCTGTAGGCTCTATGCAGTTTTTATTTAAAACTTCTGATCAAAGGAAATTCAATCAAATCAAATCTTCAAATCTGCAGACTTTAATCTGTCTGCATTTGGGCATTTTATAATTTCAGTGCTTCAAGTCAGACTGGCAGTTAAAATTGGATTAGATGATTACATTCAAAATTAAAATGGATCTTGCCATATTCACACACATCTCTAGTAAACATTGTCTTTGTATGTTTATATTGTTACGGAACACCAAACATTAAGCAAACAAATTTTTGATCTGAATTGCTAGGTTTTGAAAATCAGAATACATACAGAATCTGTTATTCTTATTTGATATTTATTTATTTATTTATTTATTTATTTATATTCATACTTGATATAATCAGAAGGCTGATTCTTTTTGTAGTAAGGTAGTACTTAGAACCTTCCTCCCCTCCCCCCACACACATTCCCTTATATCAGTACATACAGAATTTTGATATAAATAATAGGATGATTTGGAATCTCATTCAGAGCAGAAATTATATAAGTTCTATACTTTTGATTTTAACGGAAAGCTTAAGTCCTTGCTTAACTCCTACATTTTATAACTGATGACAGTGACAAGAACTCAGCTGTGATCAGACTTTCATGTATTTATTCTCTTTCTCTGTCTTGATCCACTCTGGAAGCAGCTAAATGTTCATCTTATGTTACAAGATTCCTGTGAGAATAAGCAAGCTAAATATTAAACAATTGATAACAGAGTATCTTATTATATGACATGGTACAATACTAGGTTGCTATTTCTCCATGGGAATTTCAAAATAGTAAGTTGCTGGGATTCCATGCGGTTCCAACCTGATATTGTTCTAGATGTGATAAACTAAATGTTCCATAGTTTCCAGCCTCTATGAATGTTAAGCTTGCTTGACATAGTCCATCACATCTGGAATTTCACATTTGAGTAGCAATTAGTCAGAACCCTTTTTGTCAGGCTCTAGAGGGTCACAATCAGCCTTGTAAAGGTGAACATCCCTGACCTCAGATAATGAACAGTAGGCTTAGAGGGGTTAGTTGTTTGAAAATGGAGATATGAATACACGAAACAGTTGAAATACGGACAGATCACGATAGATTCAGGGGTATCTGCAGAATGTAGTCAACAAAGTCCAGATGGTGATCATAACCATTCAGTTGAAGCTCTGCCTAGTTATGTGTGTGTGTGATGCATTTGCATTTAAAAAACAGGACAAAATTTGATCACAGCCACTGTGGCCACCATTGTAAATTTATTGATCATACCCTGCAGATACCTCTGATTCGATTGCTTTGCCATTTTAATCAGAGCAATAAATGTTTTTCTTGGTGAACATTGTTCTCTGTGAATATTGTAAGAACCACTGATACTTTCTGAACCTTAGAAAATTGATTTTGATTTATTTGCATCTCCTTCACTAGTGCCAGTATGAGGCTTCCAGCAAGCACAGTCAAACTTGAGGAGAAGCTAGAGAGATATACATCTGCTGTCCAGGTAAATACGGTAATAGAGAATGTGGTTGTTCAGACATTTATACATCTCCAAAATGAAGTGAATAAAAGGAGCAAATAAGCCTTTACCATGAAAAGAGTTCCTAGCCATACCTTCTTGGTATACAGGTGGATTAAAAGATCAAAGAAAGAGGAATGTGTATTCATACTACTGATATTAAGCGAGAAAGAAATTGGTTCTCTCCTGATCATGCAATCTGAACTTCTGATATTGCCTGCCTCTTGTCTTATCCTTAGAGGGCAGGATCCATTAAAGTGTCTTCACCTATTCGGAGAAACTTCCAACCAGCTTCAGAGGGTGTGGCCAGCAAACGTAGCATCTTTGAAGCCACTGTTCCTGTCCAGAGTGAGCCTCCCACTCTTGTCCGTAAGGTAAAAACTGATCTTACCCAGAAACATATTGCTGGAAGGAATCAGATATACAGGAGAGATATGGTCAGGTGAATTAGCCAAGGTTAGCCGATCAATGTAAAGATTAAGAACTGCAAGAAAAGAGGCAATTTTTAAAGTTGCCCACCAACGATATCAATAAATAGATACTACAAGGATTCTAGCAACCCTACTTGTAGCATGCTTTTACAAAAATCTTGAAAGTCAATTCAAAATCTTAACTCATTGTATATTTTTAGCGCAAACAAGATTGGGCGGGAGTCACTTTTATATATATATAAATATTTTATTAATTTTCTAGTTTTACAATCAAATACTTGTTGTCTGGATCCATTAGTAATTCAGTGGTATATATTAACTTCTCCAATCTAGATCCAATGTTATACCATCAAATGTTTCCTCTCTTCTTCTGGTAGTAACTGTTTTCCCCACACTAGGCAAATACAATTTTTACTGTTATTAATAAATATACAATTGAATATCAACATCTTTGTTACATTTTACTCATAATATCAATAATGTCAGTTTTAGATAACTTTTCTAACCAAAATATATCTTAATTGCATTTGCACTTAATATCCATATGTTCAATCAGTATCCTGTTTTCGCTTTTTTTAAATTTTAATTTCCCATTAGTGTTCAAAATGTCTCTATTATTTATAATTTCAAAGTAAGTTATATTTGGGTAACCAAAAGCTTCCCTTATTCAAACTTCTTAGCGTTTTCCTGTTTCCCTTCTTATATCAAAATCTAATATTCTATTACAAATCTTATCTTTCTAGTTATGTTAGTACTTCTATTTGTAGCTATTATTTATTCTCCACCATATTCAAACATCTAGTTAATAATATAATATCCCATCTAATAGATCAAAACCTCTATTTTCTTCAGTCTTACTCTAGCTTTCTTCCTTTGCCAACTAACTTTCCAAGTCAATGCATTTGAATCATCAAGTAATTTTTTCCTCTGTTTTTGTGTATGTTATTTGGAATAAGAAAGACCATTTGGTTAAAGTATTTTTGGAAGAACAAACCCATTGATACTCATTAAACAGCCTCCCTCCTTCTCCAATTCCCCACAGTTCTCCTAACAGCTCTGTCTTCCATTCAGTCAGTTTTTCTTCCTTTTCCTCAAATATGTCCTGAATTCTTCATTGGTAAGATATCTTTTCCATTTCCGATATTATCGGTCTGTCTTCTAGTTCTTCAGTTGTCTGGATCTGTCGGATGGTTCCTTCCTTTGGGTCCTCAATCTTTGGATTTGCTTCCTCTAGTTTTCCTTCTATTTTCTGGGTTGCTAGTTCCTTTGTAGTCATGTTCTGGGTTTGTAAATTTAGAGTAGAAAATTGTTTTTTTTTATCTCCCTTGTGTTATTTCTAGTCTCATCAAGAGCTAAAGCAATAGTCTCTTGTATTGATTTTAACATGGAGAGAATTTCTTTCAGATCTTCATCCATATTTTCTTGGTAGTATGTCAAACTGAAGACTTTGGGAATAGGTGTTAGAGATGGTTTTTTTACCCTTTAAAGTTGAGTATAGGACATCCATTTCATTTTTTGTATGTGGTCTTTATAATAAAAATTGTTCATCAATCAAGGATTTGTAACCCAAAATATTCCATCATCTCACGCAATGAAGTGTATTTCTCCTGCGGGGAAATAGTTCCACAACACAGCTCTGAAAGTCAGGTAATATTTATATTCGTAGTTCAGGCAAGCCAGTTTCAAAATAGTTCATCATCTCTGCCACATCAATAAGCAGCCCAGAAGTTTTTGTATTTTTCCCTTTTCCCAGCTGCAATTTTCAAAAAGCTTCCAAGGTCAGCAAGAGTCTTATCTAAATCTGGGCTTCAAGCCAGTTTCCTTTAGGCATAACAAATTGTAGTGCCGTAATTCGCTACTAGATGTCATTAGTGCCGTTTTCTAGCTTTTTAAATCCCAACTTATAAGCTTTCCAAATCTCTTTTTTAAAAAAAATTCTCAAAAGTACTTTTAGTCCCCAAATTTCTAAGCCGTAAATGTATATTAATTCCAAATTAATCTTGTAATTTTCTCTGTTTCCCGCAAGTAGTTAATTCGCGCTTTTCTTTTCCTGAGGGAATGGGGTGGAAATTTTCTTTCCATCTCTCATCGGGGAGGGTGGTTTGGGCAGTTTTTTCAGGAAGAAATCTTAGAGTCATAAAGAGAGGATAGGGTCTCACCCAGTTTTATCCAAGTTGCTGTAGGGTTGCTTGTTAGTGCTTATTGTCTTCCGTTGTTAGCAGCTTCTGACTAGCTACTACATGAATGTAGGCAGTCTTTCCCCCACCAGTTTGGAGGGCTTCCTTGGATCAAATGGAAGGGCTGCCACCCTCCCGCGATCAATGAGGGTCCCCTCCTTGCTTGTCGCTTCTAAGGGGCAACTTTCAACCCTTTTCAGGGTCCACAGTGGGGTGAAATCGAATGCGAAAGATGGAGCCCCGCCTTCCTGTGCCCATTTCGCAGCAACGTCAAAACTGGAAACCCTGAGTCACTTTCTCACAGTTTTTATTTCCCATCTATTTCCTGAGACCAGAACTAAATTCCTTTACACTATCTTCTCCAACACTGCTGTAATGAATTTCAATTTAAAATAGACTGAGTGCTTTTAAATGCTCATATCTCCATAAACATTAGTAAATGTTCAAATATTTATACAAGTTACATCCTTATGTGTCATTTCCCCCCCACTTGTTTTGGAAGGTACATAGATGCACTTGAGCTGAGGTCCTACCTGCTTGTAGACCTGTGACTACTCCTTTGATTTTATATTTTATGGCTAGTCCAGGGCTATGTGTGGGAAAGACAATAGAAAACATTATTTCATATTATTGTCATGCAAATAACGTGGAACATCAACATAAACACCAAGAGTGAAATTCAGAAAAGGGAGGGTTATTATTTTCTTACTAGAATACTGCACAATATGTGTTTGTACAATTTATCTCTGTGGTTCACTTGCTCTGGAGTGAACATAGAGCCTTTATTTGATGGGAAAGCAAAAAGTTGAATCTATTCAGAAATTTCTAAAATCATATTCTTAAGATCATTAGTTCTTATTTAGTTAGGTCTTAGAACTCAAACAAGTTCTTTCTTGTTTGAAAGAACAAGAGAAAAATCTGCTTGCCTGTACTGATACCACTTTGCATGGGTAATTTGTAATCTACATTTTCACGTTTGTTAATTATCTGTCACATGGAACCTTAAATTTCTTAATATTAGAAAGAGTAATATGTTATCTAGTCTTCTCACTGTATGTATGGTTGAGTATTCTTTCTATTCCCTTATGGTTAGGAAAGTTTGAGGATCCCAGGAGGGGTCTCATCCCGAATAAATCTCTGGATAAGTCGAACTCAGGAATCCAGAAAGAATGAAGGAGTCAAGGTATGAGAAAAGCTTTGGTAAGCCCATTAAATTAGTTAAAGAACTTGTATACTAGCCCATTATATTAGCTAAAGGACTTAAACTCCCAATTTACTCCAGCTCATTTCCAGCTCTTAAACAGGAAATCCAATACAGGTAGTCTTCTGTTACTAAGCAATGCCATTGTGAAGAGTTACTGCATTGTTTAGCAGCGGCAATCCTTGGTTGCCATTGTTAACCAAATCCCATAGCTGTTAGGTAAGGCAACCTCCTGCTGGGTTTCCACAAATCAGTGGGGAAACTAGCAGGAAATTGCAAATCCCAGGCAGTTTGCAAGCAGAGAGGTAAGGCAAGTAAGTATTTGCAGCCAGGTAGGTAGGGCATGCGGGAGAGTGCAAAGGTGTGAGGAAGACATGGAAAGGAGTGGAGAAGATGCAAAGATGTGAGGGAGGCATGGAGAGGATCAATGAGGGCATTTGAGGGAGTGAGGGATGCCAGGGAGGGTGCAATGAGGGTCGAGGAGGATATAGGAGTGCACGAGTGGCTGGCCACAGTGCACATGTTAAATGCAGAACGACTGGGGGGGGAAGGGTGTGTCCATGGGTGGATGAGACTTATCCCCACACCTTATGACCTTCCCCATCAGTTTCCCCATTAACTTTTTGGGGAAGCTGGTAGAGAAGGGTGCAAATGGTAAACACATGATCACAGGGTGCTGCAACTGGTTATAAAATATGAACCGGTTACCAAGCACCCAGTCCACAAGGATGCTGGGGTGGCTGGAACTCCAAGAATAGGTCGTAACCACCATTTGTTCTGCACCATCATAATTTTGAACTGTCACTGAATAAATTAGAGACTATCTACAGTATATTAGCTCCAGTTATCTGCACAGGGAATCTTTTAAGTGCCCACGTTTTATCTTTCTGCAGGACATTCAGAGAACTGAGAACACCATACAGGGGAGTTAGTGGGGAAACTAATCTGATGGTTTGTGAAGGAAATCCAAGGTAAGGATAAAAAGAGTTAGGAGCAGACATAAAGTGACTTGCTGGGCCTGTGATTAGTATGAAAGTGATTTGACCTGAATATATCTCAAAATGTGCACAAACAATATTGAATATGCTTCATAAACATTTTAGCTTTTTATCAATATATTATTATCACACTGCTAATAATGGATTAAACCAAGAGTCCCCAAGTCCTGGGCCACGGCCCACTTGCAGTTGTGGCCCATTGAAAACTGAGCCGCTAAAGCGGCAGGCAAGCATGCAAAGCTTCATTTGTGCAGGTGTGGGATTTAGGTTGTGTGTACAGAATCATTCCCTTCCCATGTCCAAAACCACTGAAGCTGGCACTACCAGTCTGTGGAATCAAACAGGTTGGGGACCCCTGGATTAAACAACAGGGAAACAAGATGTTAATTGGATATTCTATGACTAGACGTATATGGATTCATTTAGAATTAGCTTCTTCCCTGGAAAGCTAACACTTAAGATTCAATCACCAAATGCTGAAACTGGAGTACAGTGATTGATGAAATTGGAATATGTTGTTCAACACTGTATCTGGGACCATATCCGATAACAACTTTTGATGAAGTTGGTATTTGAAGCCTAAAAGTATGTGGGCTCCCTTTAGGGGCATATTATTAGCCTGTATAAATTGTATTATAAATATCTCCTTATTTTGTAAACCATATCAAGTCCCATAGAATTGTGTTATATAAAATCATAAATAAATTAATAGAATGATTCAGAACAAATTTTTCATCTCTTTGTGATTGAACCAATGGATATAAATCTCCTATTATTCTGATTCCGCCGTATAGCAAAACTGTATCGGGATCTGCTTTCTCATTGTTCTCGATATAACACTATGAAAATCCTTATGGTCATTCCAGCACAGTATTTAATGGTAGAGATTTGGAGGTTGAAAGAGTTGCCATTAATTCCTCAAATCTCTGCATCAGTGTCACTATCTCTCACCTCAAGTAGTTGAGAAACCAGACTAGTGCACACTTGTTATAATTAATAAGTGAACTTACCATTACTAAAAAGGGAGAACAGTGTTCTCAAGTTCACTAATATTTCCATTATAAACATGTATCTAAAAATCCAATATGGTGTTGATTTTACAACTTCAGTTAGGAACTGGAAAACTCCAAATCACTATTCATTATGAAGTCCACTGAATGACTTTCAGCTAAAACAGTGGTGCTCAACCTGTGGGTCGGGACCCCATTTGGGGTCGATCGACCATTTCACGGGGGTCGCCATGCAAGGCTGTCCGCCATTTTTTTTGTCCGCCATTTTTTTCCCCTTTTCCGGCGGGTGCCTTACCCCCCTTGAGTTGGGCCAGCTGGTGGATGGCCTGCTCCGTCTCTGCCGCTTGCCAGCTACGCCTCGGCCGGCGCAGGGGGCGGAACCACGCATGCGTGGCGCTCCCAGGCAGGGAAAGTCCTCGACTTACGACCGGTTGGGTAGTCCTCGACTTACATCCGGTTTAGTCCTCGACTTACGACCGGTTTAGTCCTCGACTTACGACCGGTTTAGTCCTCGACTTACGACTGGTTGGGGTCGCGGCATTAAAAAGGTTGAGAACCACTGAGCTAAAAGATCTGAGTTTGTTTTGTACATTCAGATTCAGTGAGCACCCTTCCTTCTCCCTTGTGGCAAACTTGTGTGTATTCATCAAATGTTTCCTTTTATCTTCTAGATGCATCTAGACAAGCTACTCTCAGGAAAACTTACCTCCATTGAAACAAAAGGCATGGATCTCTTGGAATTCAACTATATCCCTCAGTTTATTGCTCTACTCTTCTATAGAACTGACCATCTGGCAAAGATATCTATCAACCAACATGCCTACAATGCCCTTTATTGAATGGGGCTCTTGATGACTTAAATGATTTGATGGGTGGGAAAATTGATCTATGACAGAAAAACTATATTTCTATAATCCATTTTTATTTCTTTTTATTGCTATATCACCCATCCTCATCATCCAAAATTAAGTTGAGTCTTAAGTTTTATTAGCAAATATGAAATACATATGGCTTCTTAACTGGATCATGTTTCAGCTATGTTTCCACCATGATGAATATTTTAGGTTTGCACCAAGCAATAGCAATTGTTGCATAAATGTAGCTTTGCCTATGATCTCGCTGATCTTATTATTATCTAATTATGTTATTTGAATAAAAGAGGGAAGTTTTAATGGGGAAAAACTGTGCTCAACCCTAAACTGATCAGAGCCATGAGGAGGTTTAAAGCAGAGACTTACCTGAATACAGTAAGTAGAGTATAAGCCATCTGCTTATTGTGGGACAAAGAAGGGCGCAGAGTGCTTGAATATATGGATGAAATTGTTTTGCAAAAACCATGAAAAAAAGTAATGTTCTTCCCTCCCTAAAAAATTGCCAAGGACTCATTTTGTATTGTAAAATGCATTCTATATTTAAAGAATATTTTTATAATATATATTTCTGTTTCAGCTCAGTCCTAGCTATTACTAAGACTCAGTAAGACTAATGGAAGAATGTTCATGTTTTCAACAAGATTTGCCAATCTATATACATCTATTTAGATTTACTGCATTCAAAAGGTTTTATCCCCAGCACAGTGGATTGCAACTAATGTCATGGCTAATTTTAACTGAATCAGGGCTATGGGTTGACACCTGTCCTACCTATTAGCATGTCATAATTAAACAACTTAGAAGTCAAACCACATCCATGCACACAAATTCAGTAGTGGGGATTGAATTTGACTTTCACTTTTCATAATAAATATAATAAATAACATTTGTTTCAGTGTACAGACTTTGCTTCCAATTGTATTCATCTGTCATCTGATTTTTTTTTCCTGTTAAATTTGCTGACCAGACCCAATGTCTAGCCTTGCATTCAATTTCAAGATCTTGCTGGACCCACTTTCATTGAGTTAGCTGTCCAAATGAAAATATTTTTATCTAATGGTTCATAACAAACCTTTGCTCTAAGAACCTGACCTCTGGACTAATTATGTCATTTAACAAATTTGGTTAATATTTAGATGTTTTTCAGCAGTCAATGGGAAAACATTCCCTATTTATGAACATTTGAAGAACACTAACTGAAACTAAACAGTTCAGCAAGTTTGAGACAGAAACAAAACTTAAGTTAGAACTCCTAAGTAGTAGAAGACTGGCTGACTGATTGATTATACTTCTGCCGACTAGCTCCAAAATGACTTTCAGCAACTTCACAAAAGTTTGTTTTTTTTAAAAAAAAGTATTATCTTGATTGCTAAATGGAATAAATCAACATCTTTCCACAGCACACCTCAATTTAAAGGGGCATGTCCAAACATCCTAATTAAAGGTCTGGGGGACAGTTTTTAAAGATTGCTTGAAGGTGAGCAAGTTATGAGTCATACAAATTTGGTGGTGATGGGTGGGGGCTGCTGTACTAAAGGTAGGTGCAATGATAGAGAAGGCCTGCCTCCTAGGTCCTGCTAGGTTACGGGAAACAAGTGACCCTTCAAACAGGTCCTATGCAAAGTAGGTCTTTAGAGGTAACAGCTGGGAACTCCTCCAATGGTCTTCAGTAATAAGTGGTTTGCTCTGTCCTCTGTATTAAAGTGAAGCTCATTCAGAATACCAATGCTTTCCTTCTGAATTTCCTTTCTAATGAAATTTAGACACAGGTTAAAGGTAAATAAGACACTGCTGCAAGTGCCATGAGTTTATTGTGAAAATTCAAGGAATCTTTGGTTTCCAATCCAATTGATTGGTTCAAGATCAACTGATTTTATTGTAGTTTCCTCCCACCCACCACTTTTGTTGTTGTTGTTTTTTAAAAAGAGACAATAGCCTACTTGCCAAAGAGGCTTTTCAAACAGTAACACATCAGTAGCTGTTCCATTTAATGGAGAACAAAAGGATGCCTTGGGACTCATAGCCTGGCTTTTCAGATTTATACCCAGAGCTCTGTAGAGCCAAACCTTCTATATCAGTGTTCCAGGCCACTCGAGAATGACAGCTGGCTGGCTTGTGTCAGACTCTTGGGCACTTGGTTATCTCAGGTTTAAAATAGCAATTCTCGGAGGCTATACAATAGCCAGTGCTTATATGGGCTCAGGGTGGGGGGGGCAGAGATGAATTGCACAAGAGGCTGTAGCTGAGCCTGCCAAAATAGCAACAAAGCTTTACATTCCAAGCTGTTCCCTGCTGGCATTCCTCCACTCAGGCATCCAGCATCCAGGGTGGCTGATAAGGGTGGAGTGCTCTTGTTAAAGCCTCCCTCTTTTTAAATTGCATTTCTCAGACACTACATTGGTTCCCACCGAAAGGACTTTTCACCTGCTCTCTGGGCAAAAGGTAGGGAGTCAAACCATATCTTGCATTCCTCCATCTTAAACTAACCGGGCTACATACCATATCTGAAAACAACATATTTGAAATTAGGATTGGGAGGGGGTATATATTGTGTGGCAGTACCCCAAATCTACCCACTCTCAATTTCTCTGTGGATACCCTTCTTTTGAAATGCAAAAATATGAGTTTGTCCTTATTAATTTCAGTATGTGGCTCTGTATATGTGTGTGTGTTTGGGGGAGAAGGCAGAGGCTATAATACCACAAAACTATTTAGATTTGAAAACAAAACAAGGAATTCAGTTTGTAGTACCAACCTGTGTAAAATGGTTTGCTAAGTGCACATTTAGAAAACGTGGTATTCATACAAGTTGGGGGAAGTTAGTATTAGACTGGCATTAGTGTTTCTTTTCCTTTGTACGCCAGGTAGCAAAAAAGAGTGAATTTTCACTGAATGTTGGAAACCATTCAAAGTTGAACGAGGGAAGTCAGTAGCAGGAATACATAGCTTGTTTGAAGTATGCTTTTGTATTGCACAATAACTGCCTTTTGTAACATGGCCATTATCACAAAGACAGACATTCTTAGTCTAAGCTCAATATTTTTCCTGGTGAATTAAATGTTTCTCTTAGTTTCTCTCTATGTGCATGTGTATAAAATCACCAATCCATTTCATAGCCTGAAAATGTTTATGCTTAATTATTTATGAAGAATAAGCTGATGTGTCTGCAAATGCACATATAGAGTTCTAATTCTTCATTAGTTAAGATAGATGGATTCAAAATTATATAAAAATACTGCAGAAGACTATAGCTAGTGTCCTCCTGAGGTAACAAAAAATTCTTATCAGGATGGTTGTGATCCTTAAAATATTATAAAAGATTACAATGTGGATTCATTTAAAAAAACAAACAATTATAGGACTGCAGTATGTTAGTACATACCAGGAAAAATGGTGTACTAAATACGCTATCTACATTTTTACATTAAGAGTGACAGAACAGATTATTAGAAAACTGAATGTCTAGGTAAGGAAAGTTTTATACCAAGTCAGAGAAAATTTAGAAGTAATTAAGTCAACTTATTATTCAGTTTTCAAATAACTGGACATGTGCTATATACCTTTGATTAGGATGCTGCTCCTAATGCCATTTCCTTTATTGCTCTCATAATACCATTGTGAATTTGTGCAGCAACATCCTTGATTATATTCTTTTACAGCTGTTAGGCACGATTCAAATGATGCATACTTTGTGACGCTCTATTCCAAAGTAGAAGAGAAACAGGGACTTAAGGAACAGAACAGGTGGTCTGACACATGAGAATTATTTGTTGAACTCCCCAGAACCTGCTTAAAATGCCCCTCACTTTGGTGATTTGCTTCACAGCTGATCTAGTTGATCTAGCTGAAAGCAGCTGCCAAGACTTGGTGATGCTTTAAGCAAGGAAAATGAAGAGCAAGGTTCACCTGCTTATATTGTTGCAGGTGAAAACATAGGCAAGTGAGCTTGGGGTAACCGGCTTTAAGCATGAAGCTCAGAGGGAAGAGAGAAATTACTTAGACTTTAGACTTAGACCCTAGCTCAGGGGTGTCAAACTGCCGGCCCACGGGCCGGTTTCATCATACCGGAGTCGCGCCTGCCCCATTGCCGGCAATGACAAAAAAGCTCTGATACGTCGCGCGATGTCACGTGATGTCGTGAGTTTGACATGTCTGCCCTAGCTAGTCCTTTTTTTCAATTTCAGAAAGCTGTGAGCAAAACTAGAGTTCCAAACTTACTGTATTGTTCTTGGCAAAGAGAAGAAGCTAATAACTTAAGGCCATTTTTAACTCTTGTATGAAAGATGTATAGATTTGGCATTGCACTAGGTATGCAAAATACTTTTTGATTTGGGATAATAGCTTAGATGTGATTAAGGACTTATTTACCAATGTTGTTTCTGGCACTAGTTGCTAGAAATGTAAGATGTTTTAGCTAACCAGACTCTAGCCTTAGGCAATACTGCCTTTTGTCTCCAGACTATAGGGTGTACCTGTGAGGTTACAAGTATTGCTAAACTTGTTAAATATGAAAGTAAGAAAAAGTATTGATTAATCTTTTTATAAAGAGAGTAATGTAGGATGAAAGAAACATTATATCGATTATTATTTTGAACCATAATGTAATTTTTTTCTCGTATATTTCTTCACCTCATTTAAAACAGTTGTCTTTCACATCACTTGTGTCCTTAGTTTGTTATATCACACATGACTGCTTGTGATGTCTCTGCTTGTTCTTTCTTATCAGTTCCGCTGCTAATCTCATGTACTTATTTTAGAAGAACTATGCTGCTGAGTTGTGAAATGGAAATTAAAAAAAACCAAGCTTTGCTGTCACTATTATCAGCAAAGAAGTGCTTTTTGACCTCAGGCCAAATTCAACAGTTACATTTATGCCAGTTATTAGATATTAGTGGTGTTTGCTTTTTCTTCTGACTTCATTGCACTAAAAGCTTAGCTTTCCTTGTCAATATCTTTTTCTGTTTCCTTCCCCAAAGACAATACACACAGTTTACTAACTATAGAGACTACAGTACAGTATTCCAGAAAGGATAGATGTTAACTGTTGTGTCAACTCAAAACCTGAGATTCTAGAGAAATATTTCAGTTTGCAGCCTTGTGCTTATGAATACAATAGGTTTTTGTTGAATCAGGCCAATGCTCATCTTAGTTTGGCATTATATTTCTAATCAAAGCCAGCCAGACACTGCTGGAAAATCATATAAATATGAGATTCCATTTTTTCTTCCCAATGGTATTTAAAGAAAGGCATTTTAATTGATCTGTCCTCTGTGACTTTATTTGATTGCTTTTTAAAGCCATCCAAATTAATGTTCATCATACATCTTGTGGTTTTGAATTTTACAGATTAATTATATTCTTATATTTTTCTTGTTATCTGTTTTATGGGTAATAATCAAGTGCTATTACACATAGCAGATGTGAGGGGTGATCTACAACTCTCCTCACAATACTCATTTTTTACATATTAGAGAATTAAAGCCCATGCACTTGATTCTTGAGATGTACACACACACACACACACACACACACACACACAAAATAGACCTTTGGCTGGGCAGGGGTTTTAGGGAGAACATTCTCCTTTCCTCCCTTTTATCTCTTATCCCTAAATAGACTTTCTTTCTCTCTAAGACTACCTTTGTCTAGCTTTCACATATACTGCTGTGGAACTAGTCATAGATTTAATTAGATGTTGTACTTTGCTATCATCCTGAGAATGGACAGAACTGATTCCAAATTGTTACAAATACCCTATTCCTATTTTATCTGGGAAGGTGTGAATGTCTCATTGTAAGAGAGACTGATGCCAGAAACCCTTAAGAGGTGTGGATCTTCTCCTTCTTTAAGAGATCTGAATGTATTATATATAACTATCATCTGGTTTCTAACTTTCCCTT